TCGGAGGTGCGGCGCGCGCATGAAGGCTCTGCACGAGACGACGGTGACGGAGGAGATGACGGAGCAGAGGACGAGGTACGCGAGGACGTGCTTCTCCTTGTACCGAGGCACCTGAGACAGCGGGCCGGGCTGAGAGGGGGAGGGGGGCCGCACAGCCCGAGGCGCGGGTGCGGGGGAAAGGCGCGGCGGCGCTCACCACCAGCTGCCGCCACAAGAGGACGAATATGCTCACGGCGAGCAGGTAGCCCCAGGCGCGTGGCGAGGGCAGGATGCTCCTGCGGAAGGGGAGGGGGGGGGAGCGAGCTGGGCGTGGCGAGCACCGCGCCCAAAGGCTGCGCCGGCGCGCACGTCGCAATCTTCTCCGCCGTCAGGTCGTCGTTTGGCGGCGGGATTGCGGTGACGAGCATCACCACGCCCGAGGCGATGAGGATCAGCCCGATCGCGTTCCGGCACGTGAACGGCTCGTTCATCAGGGTCGCCGTGATGATGCCGTTGACAAAGACACTCGTGGCGCCGATCGGCGCGACGATCGAGGCGGGAGCATACCCATACGCCAAAAAGTTGAGCGACTCGCCCGCGATCATCAGGGTGATGCCAAACCACCAGAGCGGGATCTTCGTCATCGGATGCAGCGGTTTGCCGTCCGTCCCCGTGTTCCGCTTGTGCGCCAACTTTTGCGCGTTGAGGGCAATGGGGATCACGCTGTTGGCGCACAGCGCGATGGCTACGCCCGCCCACGCCTGCAGCGGGCGCTCGCGGGCGTCGGGGCGGCGCGAGATGGCGGCAGCGCGGTGGGGGGAGCGCGGCGCGCCTCGGAATTCAGGTCGGCCACGCGCCAACGGGAGACTTGGGTGGTTGGAGCGCAAAGCGGCGCAGACTCGTCTCCGGAGAGGAAATTTTCGCCGCTGCCGGCGTCGGGTAAGTCTGACATTACTCTGGGGGCGTCGGCGAGCCTGCGGGAGTCGGACGAGCGCAGCGCCGCGGTGCAGCTTTGAGCAGGACGGCGCCTACGGCGCCGGGTGGCCTGCGTACTACACCTTTACAAAAAAAGAATTAAAAAAAGAATTCTCTCTCTCCAAAATCCTGCTCGTGCAGGTGGGGACCTTGTCCTCGTCCCATCCCTCGTTTGCCGTGTCTGCTTTCTTTCTTTCTTTCTTTAGCAGACAGGCTCGACACACAAAAAAAGAATTCAAAGGCCACAAAGACAGAAGGAAAGACACGGCTAAGAGCAGCAAAAAGAATCACAGCAAGTTTTCCCAGGAAAAGAATCGGCTCCTTCCTTGGGTCGTGGCCCCTGCAGTTTCTCCACATGTGCGCCTCGCTGCATTTGCATGCATCTCTCTCCCGCGCGGCAGCGCCGCGTCCCCCCCCCCCCCGCGCGCTCACATCCCCTTGCTCGCGTACACGTGCGTGCACGGCGACCCATCCGCCCGCTTGAGGCCCTGGAACTGGGGCTCGAGCGAGCCCACGTCGAGCTCCATCTGCAGTGGCTGCAGGGCGAGCGCGGCGGGCAGGCCGACGGCCAAGCCCACGCCCACGGCGGCAACCTCGATGGCGATGGCGGCCGCGGTGCCGGCGGCGACCAGCCCAGTGGCGTACACCACCCTCATCGCGGCGGGCGGGAAGAGCAGCGAGAGCACGGGCAGGAACATGGAGCGCGTCGTCACCGTCCGGAAGACGGCGGTCTGCCCGGCGGCGACCGAGCGGCCGAGCGGGTTGCCGTCGGCGTCGGACACCTCGATCCCGTTCTTGATCTCGTCCATGCGCGTGAAGCAGACGTTGGTCGTGCCCGCCGAGATGACGGCCAGGTACGGCACCAGCGGGCCGAGCACCCGAAGCCCCGGGTACGTCGAGAGGAGGCTTCCCGCCGCCATTGCGATGGAGCACGACGCCGTGACGGCGAGGCCGTACGACTGCGCCAGTGGGCCGTACGCGACCTCCGGGCCGGCGCGGCAGACGTAGTTGTTCACAACATTGTAGGTCTGGTTTGCCCACTGCAGCAGCAGCGTCACTCGCATGCTCGCCTGCTGCGAGGCGGCCAGCACCATGCCGGCCGTGATCGGCAGATTCATGGGCACAAACATCGACATCCTCCCCGGAAGAAACATCTTCTCGCCGGTCGGGCCGTGGACGACGGCATTGACCGTCCTCTGCGCCTCCCACATGTCCTGGTCGGAGACGCCGTCGGGGCACCGCCCCAGCCTCTTGAACTCGTTGAGGCGCGCCTGCGCTGCCGCAACGTCGGCGTCGGTGAGGAAGATGGTGCGCATGTCGATTAGCTCCTGAATCTTCGTCAGCCTACCGACGAACGTGCTCTGGTCGTGCTGCTCTCCACCGAGGCTAAAGGGCGTGACCTTGACGCTCTCCGGCTTGCTGCTGTTCTGCTTTGCGACCAGCGCCGCTGAGTCGCACACGGTTCTGGTCGCGACACCGGCAGCGCCCGCCGCCGCCGCCGCCGCCGCCAGAGGTCTGCGGACGATGAGCCGAAGCATGTGTCGTGAGCGGCGCCGCTGTCCGCAGAGACCGAGCTCGGTCGGCGAGCTCTCGGCAAATACGGCGGGCGCCGAAGAAGAAGAAAAACGCCTGTTTTGTCTCCGAGTGTGGTAAACGCCAGAGCGCTGAGCCTGGCGGGCAGAGGCTTTGATCTTTGCACGGAACCCGACGTGGACCGTCCGTCACGGCGCTTCGACGTCTCGCCCTTCTCCGACGACTCGTCCTGGACGACGCGGCCGTGCCTCGACCGGCTACACCCACAGCTCCATCCTCGTCACCTCGCTCGCCACGCTCCCTCTCCACCAACGGCCTCAATGTGGTGCTCAGATTCGAGTGCAACTGGTCACGCTCGACCGGCTCGCTGACGTCACCGGCAGGACGGCGACCGAGTGCGGCGCCTCGCCGGCCGCGTCGCTCCCGCCGGCGCCGTCCGTGTCTCCCAACGGAGGCATCGCGTTTCGAACCACAACGGACTGCGCGCTCCGCATTTCGAACCACCAAAACTCGCCGACCCAGGTCCAGGTCCAGGTCCAGGTCCAACAAGTTTGCGCCCGGCCCTCTAGGCTCTAGCGCCGCGCGCTGGCCCCGGCTGCGTCCCCGCGCGGCCTGCCCGACGGCGTGGCGCCCGCCCTCCACCCACCTCCCCGCGCAGGGCCGCTCCGGGGCGACCCGGGCGCCCTCCGACCAAACTGCTCTATTACTATCATATACATCACACCGACCGTCATCGCCGTCGGGGAGAGGGGGGACGACACTGCTTCGGCAGCGTGCACCTCGATCCTGTACCGTGTTTGTTACGCACCATCTCCGTTGCTTGGTTTTCTAACCTTGCCACCCGGCGGGAGGCGGCCAGGGCTCATAGACTCGGTCGAGAGACCCCAGATTGGCATCCATGCCTCTCTGGACAGGGTGGCCCGCCACAAGGACCCCAGGAATTGCGACTCGCCGCTTTCCTCCCGCTGTGATTCTGCGTGAGCTCTGTGTCTTGATTTGCCAACAATATACCTAAGAGAATAAATAAATAAATAAATACAACGGACATCCCAAGCTAGGGCTGGGTCGAGGACAGACACGTCCCCACCTTTGCAGGATTTTGCAAAAGCGAGGGGGGAGGGCGCATCGCCGCGCGGAGAGGGCTGGGCACAGGGCACAGGGGATCTCTCTCGCATAGGATATGCACTCGGCGGCACGAGGGCAAGGCTGGGCGTCCTATGTTTGTGCTCCCCCCCGGACCCCTCGCTCTTGGGCACTAACCATCTGACCACTCATCGACGGGGCTTGGCGAGCGGCCGCGCTGCGGGGCAGGGCTGGTGAGGATGGGCTCTGGCCACTCGCCCGTGCGGTTGTAACCGCGCATCAGCCGAACGGAGGCCTCGACCGCCCCTCGCGGCAAGCTCTCGAGCATCTCGAGCAGCTCGCCCGCCGCCATCGCCGCCTCGAACTGCTCCCTCATGCCGAGCGCGCCGCATACCCTGCGGACCGCCTCCTGCTGCACCTCGTCCGGCGTATCGGTTTCATAGCCGGACGAGTCAGCGGAGGCGGCCCGCTTGGCGGGCGGAGAGTCGGGCGACGGCGAGCGCGACTGGCGCGAGGGCCCGCTGCCGCGCGCGGACAGCGCGTTCTTGTCAACGAGACGGGGTCCAGCATCGGCACGGCCCCTGGCACCGCGGCCCTTGCCGCGCTGCTGCTGCCCACGCTTCCTGCCCGGGTTAGGGACAGTGAAGGAGCAGCCGCGCACTCCGCCGCCGCTGGGCGGCGGCGGCACGCGCGCGGCGGCGGCCGGGCCCGCAGGCGCGGCGGGCTGGCCACCCGCGGTGGCACCCTGCGGCTGCGATGCGGCTGCGGCGGCGTACGTCTTGGGCGCCGGCTCCGCGGCTGGCGGCGCGGCGGCAGGGGCGGGCGGCGCCGCAGGGCTCGCGCTCGCAGGCGGCTCCGTGGCCTGCGCCTGCCGCTCGTGGCGCACCGCGCGCTCGAGCTGCGAGTGCGGGTGCAGCTGTACGATGACGTCGCCGCTCTGCGTCGCGGTGAAGGAGACCGAGTACGGCGCTTCGCCGTCGTTCTTCTTCTCCGCGTAGACGAGCGCGTAGTCGCACACCTGTCGTTGGTGGTCAGTGAAGATGGTCTCTGTGCAGCGCTCGGCGGAGCCGACGCGAGAGAAGTGCCGCCTGAACGCCATGCGTTCAGGCGCCAGTTGCCTCCCGTGCCAAGTAGAATGTAAACAGTCAAAACTTTTTCGTTTTTTATTGCGGACCTCCGGCGGTGGCTCGCGCAGCGGTGCTTTGGCTGCTTCGTGCTAAGGCTGAGGCGATGGCGGATTTACGCCGCACGCGCCAAATCACAAAGTCCGAGCTTCGCACGCTCAAGAAGCGCGTCGCGCAGCTGCGCAAGAAGGGCTTCGATGTGTGGACCGACGATGAGCTCGAGCGCGAGGGTTGGACGCTCGCGCCGCTCCCGCCGGCCGCGGCGGACGCGGCCACGCCGAGCATGGCGCAGGCGGCGGACTGGGACTGCGGACTGGCGTGCGTGCAGATGGCGCTGCTCTCGCTCGACGTGCCGCCGCCGGCGTGCTCGCTCAAGCAGCTCCGCGCACGGCTGTCGTCCGACTCGGTGTGGACCGCTGACCTGGTGTACCTGCTCGCGTCGTACGGCATTCAGTGCGAGTACCTGACGTCGGAGCTGAGCGCGGGCGCCTCCAGCGCGGAGAAGGCGGGCTCCGCCTTTTACGCCTCGTCCCTCGAGGCGGACGCCGCGCGCGTGGACGCGCTCTTCGCGCGGGCCGCGTCAGAGGAGGGCGTCTCCATTCGCTGCTGTAAGCTGGGTGCGAACGAGCTGTGGAACGCGCTGCGCGACGACGATCAGCTCGCCATCGTGTTGGTCGACGGGCGAATGCTCTACGCACGCGCGGGCCGCCCGCCCGACGGCGACTTTGAAGGGTGGCCGCCTCTGCCCGTCTCGCCCGCCCTCCCACCCCACCCCGCCGCACGCACACGCACACGCCCGCGGCTTCCGCGTGGCACGCGCAACCCCATCCCGCCCGCGCCGCCCCGGTGTCTGCGCGCAGGCACTACGTGTTGCTCGTCGGCCTCGACGACACCACCGACTCGTTCCGCGTCAAAGACCCCGCGCGCTCCGACCGCACCGCCGTCGTGGCGGCGAAGGCGTCCCGTCGCGCCGCGCCGCGCCACCCCCTCGCCGCCCGCTTGTCTCCACTCGATGCCCCGCAGCTCGACCGAATCTGCCCTGCGGACCACCGCCCTGCGCAGCGCCACGACTCTTTCGAGGGTCCAACTTAGGGCCCGCCGCCTCCCCTCCCCTCCGCACCAGCGGCTCGCCGACGCGCGAGCCGTGCCGGGCACGGACGACGACGTCATTTTGGTACCGCTCTCGCAGGAGCCAGACCCTGCACGCTATGCACTTGGCGAGGCGCGCGACTCGTCGACGAGCGCGCTGGAGCGAGCAGCGGACGGGTTGCGTCTAGAGGGGCGCACGGCAGACGACGAGCCGGCGGCGGTCACGGCGGGCAGATGACAGCGCGTCGCTGCGCACCTTCTATCTCATGACATCTGCTCTCGCTGCTATATTCGAGAAGAGTTCTCGCGGGACGCGGCGGCTTCGGCCTCTGCCCGAGTCTCAAAGATCTATATACGTTGCGCGCCCATCGCCGTCCTCTCTCCTCCTCTGACCTCTCTGCTCTGACTCTCAATCCGTCAATGTGGAGAGTGCGCGGTGTGCGCGTAGAGCCCGTACACAGACTACGTTTGAACCCGCAAAGTACACGATTACACGTATCTACCGTGCCCCGTCTGGCTCTGCGCGACCCCGGTCCCCGCGCGCCTCGCGCCGCGGTCCCGCCACAGACGCGCGTGACGCGTCAGATCGTCAGTACACAGAGGAGCCACGTGTGGGAGCTTAGGGGACCCCTAGGGTTCTGAGGGCCGGATTTTCAAAGACCTTTTAACCCCTAAACGGCTACCGAAACGGGACTGGGTCCAGCCCTGGGTGGCGCAAGATCTGACGTTCTGTGACAATCGTCAGATCCGTGTTTTTCTCGTTGTTTTGTCGCTCGCTCCGCTCGCCACCTCACGCTCCGTAGTCCGGCCATGGCCAGTACCCCGCGTCTCAGTGAGACGCGTGGTACCATCCAACTCCGGTCGAAGGGCTCGAATGCGCTCAGCCTCAGGAGGAACAAAACCACGCAAATTCTGCACGCCTCGCTGCGCCGCTGGCTTGACTGAATCAGGCAGCAGGCTGCTGCTGCTGCTGCCACAGCAGCAGTCTGCTGCGGCCCTAATACGCAAGTTAATGACTAGCAGCACTGCCGGGGGCATACGAGCCGCCACAGCCGGTGTGCGGCCGTGCACTGCCACCTGCCTGCGGCTACGCACAATGTGCGCTCGCATTGGATGAGCCCTGCTGATGGACCTGCGTCGCCTAGCTGCACGAGAGCAATGCCGCAGGCGGTGGCCGTGGCATACACTGCGAGCACACTCGGTGCAGCTGCGAGGTGCAGCAAGAGCACGTCGTTCCTGCCTCTGATGCCACTCTCGCGGCTTGTAGCGCGTCACTCGCGCATGCTCTCCAGGAGCTATGGCGGGCGCGTGTGTGGGGCTGTAGCCTGTGTTTGGCCGGTTCTGACCCGTTTACTATCAGTATCATGCCCGGGCCACAAAAAATCGCACACGGGTAGCGGCTCAGGGGCCCAGTAAGTCGCGGAATCGCCAAATGTCACAACCTGCGCCACCCAGGGCGCTGGACCTAGTCACGGGGTGCCCGGAAGGGCGATATCACGGCGGCCTAACTGTGCCTCCGTGCGCTCGCCACATACCCCCTGCTGCCCGAGGGGGTCGTGTTAGCACTTTATTGGGCACATACAGAGGCGGTGGGAAGCCGCCACGTTCCCTTTAAATTTTCCGCCACAGAGCTCCGGAGCGCGCTCTGCACGAGCTCCTGGAGGACGCGGTTTCGTCTTTCGATCCCAGACGGTCGTCGCACGTCGGCGCCCCAGTGAGGTCCGCCGTCATAGGTGTAGCGCACGCTACTAGACACACTGCCTCCAAGTTGAGCGGTGGAAAATTGTGACGAAGCCACGCACCGAAGCGCCGGCGTCCCTCTGGCAATCTGCCACCGACAGCAACACACGCCTTTGATCACCGGCTGCTTGCGCTCCGCATACTCTCCAGAAGCTGTTGGTTGTGGCTGGTGCTACTTCTATCAGCCTTCCTCATGCACAATGTTGCCGTTGAGCTACGAGGCTGCAACCCGTCGTCATTTGAGTTTGCTGCCAGCCACACACAGCGCGTTCCTGCTGCACGAATGGGGTTGGACAGGTGTGAACAACACCTCGTGGGGGCGGCACCGCAGGCGTCCATTGAGGGGTCCAGGTGATAGCCCTGGGCGGGCAATCCATACGCCTAGTTGGACTTCAGATCGCCCGATCGCGTCCCGGTGAACTGACGTCGGATTTGTGACGCCGCCGCACCGCGCCGCGGCCAGGGGCCCGCCGGAGGCTGAGGATGGCCGTGGCGGACCGAGACGAGCTCTGGGAGGTAAAGTGTCAGCGTATATATTGTAGAGGCTGACCATGTGCACAATATCTCTCACTCTAGCTAAGCCAGGGGAGGCTATTCTGGGCGTCCACACGGCTTCCACAGAGGGGACCCTCGCGACAAGCGAGCGCGTCCGGCAGAGCGACTGAAGAATGGAGGACAGAGTCACAAATCCCGCTTGTTGTGCATGTTTTGAGGTCGGACAGTGCTGCTGTCTTCTCCACGCAGCAGCCGACGCCACCAGGCCTCGGTAGCTGAGCAGCAGGAGCCTCCTCGCTGCTGGCAGAGTTGCGCCTCTGTTTGCCGCCGCTAAGAGATAGTTGTTGCGGGAATCCAGAGGGAATCTAAAGGAATCTAGAATCTGTGGGTCCGAGATTCGATCTGGGACCTGAGCCGCTCGGGACCAGCTGCACATGACCCGGGGCCACTGCCATGTCGCAGACGACTGCTGGATCGGTCGTCGCCGCGGTTCCTGTCAGTACTGACAGGAACGCCGTTAGGGGTTAGGAACGAGGAGGTTTGGGGGCTTAACTTGCTTGAGATTAGGCACGGGGGGTCCCTCTTTTAAGACCGTGTAAGAAAATCGGCCTCGCCGGCATGCGTCGCTGGGTTCCGCGCCGTTTTTCTCCAATACTGCCGTTATTATAGGCACAAACCCGCCTCTGAAGACACATCTGTAAGTCTGGTGCACTGGCAGGAGCCATACTCGCGCGCGTGCTAGCTGACTGTAGCCAGCTTCCCGGCCTCCGGCGTCTACCGGGAGAGCCTCCCGCGTCCCGGACTAGGTCCAGCCCTGGGTGAGCCAGTTCTGACGTTTGACATCGCGTCGTCCGTGTTTTTCTCGTTGTTTTGTCGCTCGCTCCGCTCGCCACCTCACGCTCCGTAGTCCGGCCATGGCCAGTACCCCGCGTCTCAGTGAGACGCGTGGTACCATCCAACTCCATCGAACCATCCAACTCCGGTCGACGGGCTCGAATGCGCTCAGCCTCAGGAGGGACAAAACCACGCGAATTCTGCACACCTCGCTGCGCCGCTGGCTTGACTGAATCAGGCAGCAGCAGGTTGCTGCTGTTGCCACAGCAGCAGTCTGCTGCGGCCCCAATACGCAAGTTAATGACCAGCATTGCTGCCGGGGGCATTCGAGCCGCCACAGCCGGTGTGCGGCTGTGCACTGCCACCTGCCCGCGGCTACGCACAATGTGCGCTCGCATTGGATGAGCCCTGCTGATGGACCTGCGTCGCCTAGCTGCACGAGAGCAATGCCGCAGGCGGCGGCCGTGGCATACACTGCGAGCACACTTGGTGCAGCTGCGAGGTGCAGCAAGAGCACGTCGTTCCTGCCTCTGATGCCACTCTCGCGGCTTGTAGCGCGTCACTCGCGCATGCTCTCCAGGAGCTATGGCGGGCGCGTGTGTGTGGGGCTGTAGCCTGTGTTTGGCCGGTTCTGACCCGTTTACTATCAGTACCATGCCTGGGCCACAAGCACGGGGAGCGGCTCAGGGACCCAGTAAGCCGCGGAATCGCCAAATGTCACAACCCGGCTCACCCAGGGCTGGTCCTACGAGCTACGTGACGAGTCCTTCTCCCCGGACCATCGACCTCGGGAGCTCTCCCGCACCGTTTAAGTGTTTAAGCCCGTTTAAGGAATTGGCGGCCCAGCAGCTCTTAAAACCGGCCATGGCCGGTTTTAAGCCGTTTAAGCCGCAGGCGCCCCAGGGCCCACCCTTTTAAGCCTAGGGGTCCCCTAAGTGTGGGGGCGGTGAAGAGAACTCCAGGGTGTGTGATGCACACGGAGACACGCTCGCGCGAGCAAGAGATCCAGGACCTGCAGCATCCTAGCAGCACGTCGCCCCGAGTTGCGCGCGTCCCTCAGCCCTTGCTCCGCGAGCCGTTACGCGTGAGCAGTGCGCTCCGGAGCGTCGCCCGCACCGCCGGCGCTGGAGCGGCCGACACCGACTTCTTGGTAATGGGCTGCGGCGGGCCGGCAGAGACGACGGTGGCGAAGACCGTCGCCGCCGTTTTCTGCGGCGTGAGCATGGCGTTCGTGTCGAGCGGCTGGAGTAGTAACGGCGCTTCATCGAGGCCGGATGCAGAGGCACTCTCGCCAGCCGCTCGCGTTGCCGCCAGCTTCCTCGCCTCCCATGCCAGCGCCGCCTCCTTCTCCGCCCGGAATACCGCCTCCACCTCGGAGAAGGTCGTCATGGCGACGCGCTGATCCCGATCGTTCGCCGCGGCGCAAAAGGGAAGGACATCCAGGTGCTGTGGGTTAAACTCGGGGACATCCACCTGGTGCTGCGGACCCACCGGCACCCTCTTCTTCGGGCCCGGCGGCTTGAGCTTGCGGCAGGGGATGCGGATGAGTATGTTGCGGCGCGCTTTGTTGCTGTTGCGACCGATACGCCGCGATAAAGCACGCGGCTGGCACAGGCCAGTGTGCCGGTCAGGGAGGCAGCACCCCATGAACCCGCACCGCCCAACCATCTGCAGCGCGCGAGGAGGATTACGCTTGGTTGCGTGAGCTGACATGAGTCGGGTGCGTGATCTTGGTCCGGGGATTGTGCCTTTGTGTGACCGCCGGGATGGAGTG